TGACGTGCGGTGCGCGGGCGTTTTGCTGCCCCGCCGCCCCGCACCCGGGCGTTTTGCTGCCCCGCCGTGTAGCGCACGGGTGCTTTTCCGCCCCTGATGCGTGGTCCGCGGACGCCAGAACGGATTAACGGTAATTACATTGAACCTTACGCTTTGGGGTGTGACCAACTCGACTTGCGATCAGAATCACGGAACGGATTAAGTTCGTAAGTAGAGGTACCACTGTAATGTTTTTGGTTTTTTTGGTGGGGGGGAACTTGTGGGTGCTTGTGTCTTATATATGTAAAGCCTGTTGTTCATAGGTGACAGTAGAATGGCAATCTCCCCCTCCCCTTGTGTGTCTGCATGTTCAGGCCTACCCTACTGAATTCTAAACATCTCAATCTTGAACTTGTATTTCTCTAAAACGATTATAGCATAATATGTGATATAACATTAATATCTGTTGGGCATTCTCTGAAATTGATCTATGCTTTCATCAATTGTTAGGGGCAATTTGGCATCAATTTGGCAGACACTGGCCTGAGATTATCTACTAAAACAACATGGATTGCTCAGGGAAATTATGCCACTGTTCAGATACATAAATCTCAAGTAAGTGATTCTTATTTTGTTTGCATGGATATTTCATTTGGGTCATGTTTTAATGGGTGAGGGAGGTTCAGCTGAGCTGATTATTGGTAAGTGTTACAAAGCTAAAAGTGTGAGTTGCCAAACAGAAATAGCTAAAGAGGACTATGAATTGGGTTTATATTTTGTACTTTCTATGAGTCTAACATATGTATGTATGTATGTATGTATGCGTATGTGTGTGTGTAACCTCAGTTTGAAACCAGTTATGATTGTAATTGTAGCAGAAAATACAAAATAGGAAACATTATTTGTTTTTAGTTTTCTGACCCTGAAATCTAGCACTCCTAAGCATGAAAAGACCCCTAAGTACAAAAAGAATAAAAAGGAAGTAAAACAAGAAATTGGTCAGAACAAACCATGCTTCCTTTTCTTGTCTGCAGACTGATAGGGATGTGCAAAGCATTTAAAGGGCTGCTTTAAAAAGTCTGTTATGTGGTGAAAACACCCCTAAGAATCAAGCTCTTTGGGTGGTTTAGAGCACTGCTTCAAAGGTTGTCCCCATCTGACTGCACATGTGTGTGTGTGCATACCTATTTTACTTTGCTGGCAGCCTTAGTGGAAGTGTTGTCTGTGCATGTGCATACATGCACATATAGCAAAACACAACCTGTGGAGCAGCTGAACAAGTCTTCCAGGGTATGCGGCTACTTTAATGCTCTGGAATGCTTTGCTCAAATGCCTTATAGCCCTATTAATTATGTTTTTGACTTTTCCATAAATGATGGTTAAGCATAATAAAGTCAATACCATCCTAATGTCAGGATGGTATTTTCATGAATCTATTAACTGAAAGCAGTGTATATAGGTTTGAATCATTTTGCATCATTTTCCATGGCTTTGTATCATTATGATTTTTCATTCAATGATCTTTTATTTTTTTTAGAACGATACTAAAATATATGGAAGATGTGGAGGATTCTGTGGGAAATGTATTCCTAGTGGAAATACTGGTCTTCAACTTCAAATACTGTAATAAAACAGGCAGAGAAAACAAATCAGAAAGATTATATTGAAGGTGCTGTTTCCTTAGTTCTTCAACTCAGTAGTGGTTACTCAGAATTAGTTCGTGTCTTTCTTTGTTCGTAGAAGGGACTCAAGTGTGTGCTTCCACAATTCTTGGTGTGTAAGTATAGGAATAAACTGCAGATGTCAATTTATACATTTCTGTAAAGACACTAGATGGGATCCAAAGACTGCACAAAGGAGACTGGTGGAAAAGGGCTTTCTGTTCTTCTCTTCCTCTGTTAACCCCACCCCACTCTGACAAGACTATCCGTATGGGGTGAGGAACCTTTCTGAATAGTGAAAAATGGGGTGATTGTAGAAGAAGGAGGAATTGCCTAGATAAGATGGAGATAAATTCATATGGTGTAAATTCAGTCAAACTGACTATGCATTATTTTTGGCTAGCTCAACCAGTACATATTTTCTGGGTTTATCCTGCTTCTAGCATGAGTATCTTAAAATCTCATCAAATTGAAGGGCAAACTTCCCATCAAGTTCTAGTCAGACACTCAAACCACTATGAAAAGATGAAAGATACACATAGGTGTTAGGTACATGTACTAATAATTACAAAAAGTTATTGTGATAAACATGTGCAGAATACATTTTTATATGGCAGTTTAGGAATTCCACAAGATAAAAACATCCCAAACCATTTTAAATTTGTCTCTGTATAATGATTCTGGAAAAAGTTAACTTACTTCATAGAAACCAGCAGATGAGACTTGCGAATACAATATCATTATTTTGCTATTTAATGTACATTATATATTCAATCATCATGTTGCAGGTAGCCTTAGGACTTGGTTGAGAAAATAAACTTGAGTTAGATCTTTGTAGAATTGCCCATGAAGTAAACATTTTCAAAACCTCATATTGTACAAAATAATAAATATGTCTGCTAGTCTGAAAAAATAAGAACGAAAATAGTATGTTGAAATGTACCATATATGGCATAATTCTAAACATGTTTATTCAGATTTAATCCTGGATTTAAAATCTGTTAAACTTGCATAGGGTTATAGTTTACAATTGCTATTGACTTTATAAAATCTGTCAGATATTTGTTATCCCAAATTTGAATAAGACTGGTGCATAATCAGTGTGCTTTCTGCTGATACAGTTCATGTATCTTCTTGTAATTCTGTGATTTTGTTATCATCAAATAGAAATAGCAGATCAGTTTGAATGTAAGATCTGTTATGGGTATAAAGCAATAATACGTAGCTAAGATCCTAACTCTTATGAATTAAACACTATCAGGGCACTTAGTTTTGCTTGTTACACACATGCACACACACACAGACCCAAGATACTGAAAACATAGAGGTTGACAATTAAATGTTGGTATCATGTCTCTGTTGCATCCTTGAAATCTTATGCAAGTAGGGATAAAGGCAATATTTATATGATTCAGATTATATAAGAAATTTTAAATAACCCAGTTAACATTTCTGGAATATATAAGCAAAATATTATTTTGTTGTATATTTGATTTATATCCCTCATTTCCGTCAATAACTCAAGGCAGCTTATGTGAGGATCTCCTTTCATTTCATCCCCACAACTCTGTGAGGTACAATGACTAGTCCAAAGTCACCCAGTGAGTTTTCATGGCTGAAGGTGAGCTTGAACTTCCCTGGTCCCCATGGTCCCACTCCACACCTTAATCACTGCATTTGCCCATCCAAGCCCTAATTAGTAATTTTCAGGATTTTATGGCATGATTCATGACTCAAGAAATAGACACCAGATATGTATAAGCATAAAAATATGCATTAAATGCAGTTAGTAGAGAAAACTATGCATAGCATTATAATAATAGGTAAGGTAGTCCTCACTTAACAACCATTCATTTAGTGACCGTTTGAAGTTACAATAGTGCTGAACTTGGAAACAGTCTTTGTGCTTACAACTGTTGTAGCACCCCCACAGTCATGTGATTGCAATCCGGGTGCTTGGCAACCAGCTCGCAGGACCCAGGGTCACGTAATCACCATTTGTGACCTTCCCAGCCAGCTTCCGGCAAGCAAAATCAGTGGGGAACCACGTAATTAACTTAAAGACCATGTGATTCACTTAATGGCCATGGTGATTCACTTAATGACTGCTGCAAAAAAGGTTGTAAAATCAGGCGCAACTTGCTTAATAACCGCCCCACTTAATGAATTTTCCAGTCCCTATTGTGGTCGTTAAGCAAGGACTGCCAGTAAAAGTGTTTGTGAAAATGAATACTAATTTTCAGCAGATGTTTTGTAGGCTGAATTTGCAAACTGTTATGGAAAGGAAGTTGCAGTCAGAATAATAAGCAATATAAAAATAGGCAGATTCATCCACCTCCAAATTTAAGTACTTGCAAGATCCCTTGTATTCATATTAAATTGGATCAGATATAAGAGAAAATTGTGTTTCCTGCTAGGAGAATGACATTCCACAGAGGACTCCTTTCCTTCACTTTCTTTCTCAAATAGAAGAGGACCCTCAGATATAAGAGAAAAATGTGTTTCCTGCTAGGGGAATGACATTCCCCAGAGGGCTCCTTTCCCTCACTTTCTTTCTCAAATAGAAGAGGACCCTCAGATATAAGAGAAAAATGTGTTTCCTGCTAGGGGAATGACATTCCCCAGAGGGCTCCTTTCCCTCACTTTCTTTCTCAAATAGAAGAGGGCCCCCCCCCCCCATCTATGCTTCTAGAATTAATTACAAATTTGGAGAATATTGACAGATGCTAACTAGGCTAACTAAGAATGAAGAACATCAAATGACCATTTCTTTTCTTTTAGTACAGAATTTGTTAACCACTGTTCCCATTATATCTGAACTCAGAGAACAATGATTCATTTTAATTGTGGTTAGAAAACCTAGGTATAACTTATACCATGGATTCCCATATTTGTAGATGCTTTTATTTTTATTTACATAGACCAAGGAAGACAGGACAGAGTGTAGAGCAATCATCTAAAACACATGAAAGTGCCTTCCTGTAATTTGAAACCATGGTTTCCAGAACTCTGTTTAGAGAATGCTAATCTGTGTGTCTTTTATGTTTGCAATATAGCTGCCTCTACAGCAATGAACGCCATGTGTCAAACAAGGCAAGCAAATCACATAATCTGATCCAAGAGAGCTCTTGTTCTGATGAATGAGCATTCCAGTAATGACATAAGGTCTTTTTTCCCTCAGAAAGTCCAAACGTTCTATACAGCATGACTTAATTGTTCCTGAGGATCAGTTGTAATGAGCACTGAAATGTCCCACTTCATTGCTACATTGGAAGATATGTTAGCTTTTATGGAACATTCTAGCTATTGAATTTGTGATTCAATTTAGGATTGCCAGAATTCAGAATAGAAGGTGGTGGTGGTGGTGGTGGTGGTGGTGG